TGCGGACCATCTCGGACGCCTGAGCTCCGCGAGCCATCCCAGGACAGCAGCCCCACCTGACTGCAGCAGGAAAACAGCTGCGCTGAGTCCACTGACTCAGAACAAGAAAAACAAGCAGAACACAGAGTCCGCAGTGTAGCCCATCACACTGAGGGGCATCGACAGATGCTGGGCAAGCACTTGGCACAGCACTGCAGGCTGTGATGCCTACCTTTACTCCAGCTTGGCTGGACGCAGGTGCCCAGGGTAAACCCTCTTTCTGGGTCTGTCTGTGAGGGAGTCTCTGGTGGAGACCAGCACTTTAATCAGCTGAAGGGGCGGAGTCCATCACTCCCCCGATCTGGGGGACAGGGACACATCCAGTCCCCTAGGGCCTCAACAAAACCAGGGTGGGAGAAGGAAGAAAGTGCCCCTGCTTTCTGTCTTACTGAGCAAGCTGGGTATCTCACCTCATCTCCTGCCCTCGAGCTGGGATTTACACCATCAGCTCTCAGGGTCTCAGCTTCAGACTCGGACTACACTACACACATCCCTGGTGTCCACAGTGTCGGGCTGGTGGACTGTGGGCCCCTCCCGGCCTCCGAAACTGCATGAGCCGACTCCCCATAATGAATCTCTTTTCATATCTATACCTGCCTGTATCCTACTGTCTCTGTTTCCAGAGAACCCCTCCTGATACAGTCTTCATGCAAAAACACTCAAGATATCTAGGGATTGAGAGCACATCTTTAACTGGATAAAAAGTACTTGTAAAACAAACAGGCAAAAAAACCTCTAGTTAACAGATTTAATAGTGAGGAACTAGAAGCTTTCACAGTAAAGTCAGGGAGGAAGCACGGGTAAAGCCCTCACAACTTTTTTTCAATATTATACCAGCATAGTTTAATGCAATAAAACAAAGTAAGAGTAAAAAAGAAAGAAAGAAAGAAAGAAAAAGAAAAGAAGAAACAAAAGGCACAGAGTGAGAACGAAGAAATAAAACTGCCCTTGCCGGGCGTGGTGGTACATGTCTGCATCCCAGCACTCAGGAGGCACAGGGCAAGAGGATCGCTGTAAATCCGAAGCCAGCCTGGACTACAAAGTGAGACCCTACAAAGAGACAGACAGACAGACAGAGACACAGACTGAGACTTTGTGTACACATGGCAGGCTCATATATGTAGGATACCTGAAAGAATCACCAAAAGTCGTCTGGAGCTAATCAACAATTACAAAGCAAGATTGTAGGATGCAAGACTGATACACAAAAATCACCTGATTTTCTATATACCAGCAATGAATAAACGGAAGCTGAAATTAAAAAGAAAGAACCATTTACATTATTACTCCAAAAAATAAGATACTTAGGTATAAATCTAACCAAATATATACAAGATTAATATGAAGAAAACTAAAAAAAAGAAATCTCAGGAAGAAAATCACAGAACTACATAGAGAGATATTGCATGTTTTCACTGAACACTGAATATTGAGAAGACTCAGTGTTGTCATGGTATTGACAATATTCTCCCCAATTTAATCTACAGATTCAATGTCATCCAAATCAAAGTCCCATCAAATTATTTTGTGGACATTAACAAAGTGATTGGAAAGTTCATATGGAGATGAAAATGAGCTAGAGCAGCCAAAACGATATGGACAAAAAACAAAGTCAGAGGAATGGCACCTACCACCTGTTAAGATTTTTCACTGTGGGAAAACAAGAAGCCATCACAGCACTCCTACAGCGTGGCCACACCCAGGACTGCAGCAACCGCTGGCTGGGATGTGAAGTCACAGGAGTACCTCCATTGCCCATGAGGATGCCAAGTGGTACAGCCTCTCTGTTAGACAACAGTTGGGCAGTGTCTTACAAAAACGAACACATTTTCACAGTGTAAGCTAGCAACGAGATCCCTTGGCATTTGCCCAAATGAGCTTAAAACTCAGGTCCACACAGAACTCCATACACAGGTGTCTCTAGCTACTTTATTTGTAATTCCAAAACTTGGAAGCAATTGAGATGTTCTTCAACAGGTACACAGTGAACTGCAGTAGACGGGGGATGCTACTCAGTGCAAACAGAAGTGAACTGCCAAGCCCTGAGGGGACCCTGAGAAGACTTCATTGGTTCTAGCACAGAAAGAGGCCGTGCTGAAAAGACCGCACACTGTGTGATCCCAAATACTTGACAGTCTAGAGAAAGCGAACTATGGAGACAGTAAATAGGCCAGTGCTTATGAGAGTGGCAGAAGGATGAACAGGTAGCTAACAGGGCTTTTAGAGCAGTAAACCACTCTACGTGGCACTGTAACAGTGAGTAAGTCACTACACACTTACCGGGCTCACAGTCTGCAGCCCACCAAGTGTGAACCCTTCTGTGAACTACGCACTTTGAGCGTCAGTGATGTGATGACGTTCACAGGGTGTAGCAGATCCACCGCTGTGGAGCCGGGTGTGGACAGGAAGGCTGTGTGAGGGTGAGAGCACCGTTTGGGAGCTCTCTGCTCAATTCTGGTATGTACCTAAAACTGCTTCAAAAGTAAAGCCTGTTCAAAAGAGAAAAATCCTCGCGGACCCGTGAGTAATAACAAATGATGGTGGGTATCCTAAATCACAAAACTTTACGGCAATAGACACGGTCTATGGAAGAGAGGGAGTCCCTGTTCATGTCCATTCTTGCTGTTCTCCTTTATAATTGAGCCCTTGGGTTTGGGCTGGAGAAATGGCTTCCCAACCAGAGACATTTCCTAGCTTCCTCTCAGTAAATGTGGCCGCTGGACTGAGTTCCAGCGCATGGACACAGATGGATGTAATGAAAGTAACTTCCATGTCGTGCTCTGGTAAGAAGAAGGCTGTCCTCTCCTTGCCTTTGTCCCTGTGCACAGAAAGCGAGCACGGCAAAGGCACAGCCACCCTGCAGGAGGTGGGAGCATGTGTGAAGGGCTCCTAGGAACCCGTAGAAGGAGCCCAGGGAGCTTTCTTTCTTTCTTTATTTTCAGACAGGGTTTCTCACTATGTAGTTGAATCTGACCCGGAACTCACTATGTAGCCCAGGCTGGTCTCGAACTCACAGCGATCCTCCTGCCTCAGCTTCCTGAGTGCTGGGATTACAGGCGTGCACCACACCTGGCTCTGGGGAGCTTTCTAAACACCATACTGCAACCGGCCACAGCAATCTTGTGTGCTGTGCCTGTCAAGCCTCTCAGTGAGTTGTGCTGAGGGGCAAATGTAGAATGGAGAGAGAACCCAGTCCTGAAGACCAGTATCCACCTCAGCCCTGGGACCCACAAGGCAGTGTGTTACCTTCAGTCAGGCGCCTCCTGGTGGCGCTTCCCAACGCCTCTTTGCATTTTATTTCATTTCATTTTCCCTCCAAGGGCTGAACCCAGGGCCTGCAGCAGACTAAGCGCATGCTGTACCCCAAGCTGCGCTCTCAGCCCCACCTGTGCCGTTTTAGGTGAGCATCGCCTCGGAGAGGAGACCACTCTGCAGTGGGCCTGCCCTGCTGCTGACCTGAGCCCCGCCCTCCCCACACCCCTCACATCCACGGTCCGGTCCGGTCCGGTCCGGCCTCTGCGGTTCCTGGCCCATGCTCCACTTCCCCTCTCCCAGCAGACGCACAAGCTCGCCCACATTTCCTCGGCTCCCGGGCGCCCCTCTCCCTCGGCTGTTCCTGCTCATCTCTCCACAGCCGGCGGCACCATCCTCCGGGAAACTGTCCTAAACGGCTGCAGAGACGGCTGAGGCATCGGGGATTCGAGGTCACACGACCCTAAGCTGTAGACCTCGGCCCCCGCTCCGTCTGTGGGACTCCATGCAGCAAGGCTGGGAGCAGGAGTGGAGAGTGCGCTTGCCAAACTGCCCCCCAGTAAAAGAGAGTCCCCCCTGGCTGCGGGCCACACCCCAGTTGCAGGCAACACACTAAGACGGCAAAACAAGACAGAGAGGCAGCACACGGCGACATGTGCCTGTCATTTCCGCTACCTGGAATACTGAGGCAGGAGGATTACTTCAGCCCAGGGTTTTGGACTGTTTGGTTTGGGTTTGGGTTTTTTGCAGTACTGGAGATAAAACCCAGGGGTGCTCTATCACTGGGCTACATCCTCAGCCCTTTAAATTTCATTTTGAGACCAGGTCTCACTAAGTGGTCCAGGTTAGTCTCGGGCTTGTGATCTTCCTGCCTCAGCCTCCTCAGTAGCTGGGATTAGGAGTGTAATACATCATACCTGGCCAGCCTGGGCAACACAGTGAGACCCAACCCCAAAACCTGAGAAAGATGATAACAAAAGGAGTCTAAGTCTCAAACACCTTTAAGCTGGCACCGTGACACGCATGAAAAGAATGGCGGTGGAGGAGATTTAAGCTTACTGTTAATTCTGAATGCAAATTCCCTTCAGACCCACAGGAGCTACTGAAGCAGACCCTTCTATGAGGAAAGGCAGATGTAGAGGACATGCTCAGCACGTGAGAGGCCCTGGGCCTGAACACACACTCTTGCACACACGCACACACGCGCACACAGAGGCCGCAGCAGAAGCCATGGCCGAGATGAACCAGAGGCACTGGAAGGACTCAGAGTGAGATGGGAAATTTCACGGACTTGGGCTTGATTCAAACAATTGAAGAGGGGAGGCAGGCAGGGCCCCAGTCGTCCTGACCCCTGAACCTTCCACCATGTCGTACATAGCCACTGTCCTCCCCGAGGAGATGCCCCGCCCAGCACTGCCCTGGAGGAGGGAGGTTTATCTCCAGTCCATCGCAGTCCGCCTGGCACAGCTCTGGGACAGAGGAGCTGGGCAGGGAGAGACGCCCAGGTCGCACAGGCAGAGGCAGAGGGAGGACAGGGCTGTGCCCCTCCGGTCACAGGTGACCGCTTCTCCGGCCAGGCCCAGCTCCTGCAGCTGCCTCAGCACCTGACTCTCAAAGGGCAGGAGGCTCTTCCTGCTTCTGGTGCGGCCCCTGCCTGCTCGGTTCCGCCGCACATCCCGCCCCACAGATGAGGGAAGAGCGGCACTTACCTCTGGAGACTCTGTAGACTTCGTAAAAAGAATAGCAGTGGAAGCCCAGCGACGTAAGCAGGTAGAGAGACAGCTCCCAACGGGGCAGCACGGAGCTATGGGGCGGCATCCCCGGTGCCAAGTGACTTTCTGTGGGAGACAGAGACAAAGCATGAGCCGGAGCAAAACACAGACAGAGCCTCCTACTCCAGGTAGTTCCCGGGGATGCGCTGCTCCCCGGGTCGACGGACGCAACCCCTCAATCGGCCTCCACCCTGAACTCTGCCCCGGACCCCACATCCAACGTCACACATGCACACACACGCGCACACACTCCTCTCAGAGGTCGGCTCTTCTCCAAGTGTCCAGTCTTCTGTCACAGTGCACACCAGACAGAGTTCTCCCCTCCACTGGGACGTGCCCGTCCCCTCTGGAAGTGGACTTTGGAGAGAGTGACCAGGAGTCCTGACTCACTGAGGTAGATCAGAAACCCCCAGGCTTTGAGTGACAGCCACCCCCGGGGCTGTCCTAGATCCACACAGCTCGGGCATGCGCTGCTCCTGCCCGGCCACAGAAAGCTTGAGCGCGGGCCGACCGCACACCTGTTGCTGTTTAAACACAATGTTTTGGTCCAGAAGGGCTCTACCAGCAATGACCCTACAGTGCTGCAGCCCAGGCCTCGTCTAAGTGAAGCCACGCTCCGGTGGCCCTGTTAATCTGCTCCTTTATTTCTTTGGTAGTGTGGGCTTGGAAGGCCTTATAAAACTACTGAGATTCTTACCCTAGATAGTGTGTCTTGAGTGAGTCTCTTGAAAAAGGAGCTATAGAGGGGTGTGGTGGCACAGGCCTATAATCCAGCACTATGGGAGGCTGAGGCAGGAGAATTGCCAAGCTTGAGCCCATCCTGGGAAATTTAGTGATTTAGAAAGGTTATATCTCAAAATAAATTTTAAAAGTCTGGAGATGTAGCTCAGTGCAAAGGCCCTGGGTTTTATCCCCAGTAGAGAGAGAGAGAAGGGGGGGACTAGGAGCTGCTGGGCCTTAGAGTTCCAGAAGCCAGCACAAATCCACAAAACTCAGCAGGCTGGAGACTGGCACTGCCAGGCACTGCAGTGACCATGGCGGCCACTGGCCGTGACTGGTGTCAGTCAAGAGTGTGCAGCGACAGGCAGTGTGTGGTGTTTGATTGGCCCAGGGAGGCCAGCCAGAGCTGCTAAGAGGAGCCAGAGAGCTGAGGCGGTGCTGGGCAGCTGGCGAGCTAAGCGCCTAGGGCAGCAGGCACTGGGACTCCCAGAGCGGCGACACACAGAGCCCGGCTTTGCTGATGCTTAATTTCTGCCCGAAAGGAACAAAAGAACCCTCAACCTCCACAGCACCAAGGTGTTGGCAGTGCCAGCACCTAGCGTTGTGCCCAGAATGCAGCAAGAAGGGACGCCAGGTGCTCTGTGAACAACAGATGGCGTCCAAAGCCTGGAGGGAAGGAAGGCCCAAGTGAATGACCGCCAAGCTTCTAAGCTAACGGCCTTGATCTCGCAGTTCTCTTCAAACGCCATCCCACAAGCCTGAATCACCAGGGACTCCTAAAAGCCGCCCCGCCTCCAGGCAGCCAGGGCCCTCAGAGCGGCAGGGCAGTTAACGCCTCTGAGGAGACCCTCCCCCATGGTCTCTGCCCCTGCACAGTCATCGAGCCCTCATCCTGACACAGGGCAGGTGCACTCGAGCAGACAGGGGACCCTCAAGCAGTTCCGGCCAAAGGGAAGGGTATGCAGGGACGTGAGGCTGGGTCCCCTTCCTCGATCATCAGAGACGGGACAGACACTTTGGACCAGGAAGTGAAAGTCACTTGGACAGCAAGGTAGAAGGCACCTCAGTCCCCAACTCCATGAACTGCCCACCTGGACCGTGTCCACCTGGACTGTGCCTGGAAGGGAAATGCACTTCTGGGTTGTTTACTCAGGCACTGGTCCAGATCTCTCTGTCCAGGCTGCCACATCCATGTTCTAAGCAACAGACAAAACGGTAATGGAACATTGGGTCCCAAAATTCTGGGCCTTAAGTGGTCTCAAACATCTCTCCGTAACAGAGTTAACGAACGTCCTCTTATGGATCTCATAGCTTTACTTAAAAACATGCTATTGTGGTAGCAAAATAAACATGAGCAAAATTTGAAGCACTTCTTATATACGACAGTAACACCAAACCCTAGCATTCACGTAGTTCTCATTTTACTTTGCAACAGCCAGGTGGGGCCAGGGAAGCAGGAGAGCGAGGGAGGTGGGCTTGGGTGTTTAGGGGAAGACGTCAAACAACCAGAAACAGCTGAGCAAACATCCCATGGTACCAAGGAAAACGAATGCTACATACTTAGAAATATGTCTACAGTTTTTTAAAGGTCCAAGCCCTTAAAGTTTCCCAAAACCTCAAAAAAATTCCCAAGTTTCTGTTGCTCATACTCTAAGCAAGCACATTCCTCTTTGGCAGAAGGCTTAGACTGGAAGATGTGCTCCTGCTGTAGACCTGAGCACAGCACATGATTCCTTTCCTTTCCTACACAAAAAATGTTCGACTTTTCAGTTAAAGGAAACTTTCTGTGGCTTCTCTTTGGCATATCTGAATTGCCAAGATTGCTACTGCACATTAGGGCCCTTGTGAAGTAAAGGGAAGGCTACATGTAAGCCCTGTGGCCCCAGAACAGTCAGCCTAATGTGGGGATGCGCCAGGTGCCTGCTGGATGGGGGCAGTGCGGGTGGAGGCAGAGGAGCAGGCAGGACAGAGTTGGCCTCGAAGGCTCCACCCGTCCCTCAGCAGAGTGCACAGCGTACTCATGACTGTTTATTTCTGGAATTTTCCATTTCATATTTTCAAAGTGTGGCTGAGCACAGGTAAGTGTAACCACAGAAAGTGAAACCAAGACAAGGAGAGGCCACTGGACATGTACTCAGGCGTGGGAAGCTTTCCAAGCAGCCCTCCCTCAGTGGGGCAGGAGTCTGGAAGCAGGGCTCTGAGGGAGGTGGAGCGCCAGCGCGGAACCCAGCCTGCGAGGGGGACACTAAGCTTCACTGGGCATCAAGTGGGTCTAGGAGGCCTTTGGAAGACGTTGGGTCTCAAAACCAAACAGCATTGACAAGACGAAGAAACGCAAGGCATTTAACACTAGGTGTCGGGCGGCACGCAAGACACAAGTTTCCCCGGAATGAGAGAAAAGGAGTCAGACTGAGGTCAGAGGATCTTTCTCCATGTCTGGGGTATAAGAGCCCCAAGAAGTATCCAAGCAGGAATCACAGAACTCGGGAGCCCCAGAGTAAACTCTTAGCTGTAAAGCCACAGGAACTTGGCTAACAGCTTTTTCTATACCATTTACTTTGCAATTTATCACTTCATGTGCTTTCAGAAATGCCATCCCTCTCTCAGATCCTCACACGATAGCTGACTTCTTAGCCTCTTTTCAGAAATCAGAATCCTGTTCAGGGAGAAGAAAGGATCTGCTCAAGGACACAGGAAACTCAACAGTGTAGCCAAACATCAGAGCCGAAGGCCCAGCCCCCACTCTCTCAGGGGCAGAAATTCCATTCCTTCTTTTGGGAGAACATAAAAGCACACCGTGCCAGACCCTAAGTGCACAGAGACATGACCGCTGTAAGGTGCTTTCTCTCAGCAATTTTAGTGTCATTTTAAAATTACTTTCTTTTTAATTCATGCAACAAATGGATTCCAACAGTTCCATTTTAAAAAATGTCTGCTCCTAAGTCCTGATTCAGCATCAAGTGGCCCCGGGCAATGGAGGACTCTCAAAGCAGCAGCTGCCAGCGTTAAAGCCTTCGGGATGGCATCGCCATCACCACCTCTGCCACTAATGGCTGGATGTCCCAAACCAGCATTTCCTCTACTGAGTTTTCTTATAGTTTCCGAAGAGCTGCACCCTAATTACCGGTCACCGGTCACCCAACCTGAAGAAGCACTGGACAAGGACTATGCCACTTTTGTGTAGGAAAGAAAAGGAATCATATGCTGAACTTGCTAAGTTCTGTAGCAGGAGCACATCTTCCAGGATAGCAGCTGCTCAAGGTTGGTGCTTCCGTTGTCTTCACTCAACACCAGAGGAAAACAAGGGCCAGAAAAGAAGCTAAGAGATCCGGCCAAAGCCACGTGGCTGGTCAGCAGTGGACGGCCTCCTCCCACCGAGCTTAGCTCCTCAGCCTTCCCTCAGCTTCGCACCACCCTGAAGGTGCCTGGGTTCATTATTTTCAAAGTCTAAAATGAAATCAACCAAAAGGCCAACAAGTAATGTAAGCTCTCTAGTTGGAAGGGAATTTCAAAAGTTATACTTTTAGATGCTCCTGGAGAAAATCTGAGAGACACACACGTGAACTATCTAGCTCTTGCATGTTCCTGAAAAGATTTACTGAAGAAGGAAAACTGAACCAAACCCACTTACCTCGTTTATAAGGGGGAAGCAGTAGGCACAGAGACAAGGGCAGAGGCAAACTGGAGCCATTAACGCAGGAATAAATGGGCACTCTGGGAGCAACACCAGGGAGCCAAAGGAGCCCGCCCACTGCAATGAGGGCAGCTTTGAGGGAAGTAGGACAGCAATGGTCTAGCCATCGGCAGAAGACTTCAGCTCTCTTCCAGGGTCCAATTTCATGGGACCGATGCCTATTTTACAGAATACAAACTACATGATCTTCCCGGGAAAACCAAGCTGGCCTCTCATCGCGCCCTCCTGTGTCAGTTTCTCGTAAACATCATGACAGCCGCATTCTTCCCCACATCACACCACACAGGGCAGCAGGAGATTCCTTGGAGGAAGTCTGCAGATGGGGCCAAAGTCTAATTGCAGAGTATCTCAAAACACACACTCACTATTCCCAAATCTGCAGAGACCATGGGTCAGTTAGAGGCCACTGCTTAATAAATCGTCCCCACAGGTAGTGGCTGCAAACAACAAAGACTTCTTCTTCCTCGAGACGCTGTGTGAGGGCGGTGAGGGCGGCTCTGCTGATGTCTCCACCGGGGCCAGGCCTAACCCACAGCTGGCATTAGGGCTCCAAGGCCTTTGTGGGCGCATTCTCCAGCAGGAGGGATGGGCTTTTTCACAGCACAAGGCCAAGGGGCCCAAAGAACCCTAAATACCAGGCTTCCTCAGCCAGTGCATGGAGAGACCAGCCAGAGTCAATGGAAGAAAATTTCATCTGGGAAGGAGCAGTAACGGCGCCTTAAAAGCAGGCAGCTGGACAACTGCAAGTGTAGCTCAACAGTTACAGATGAAGCAAATGTAGAAATAAATCAGTTGGGAAACTGCATTGCGCAGATCTTTTTCCTCCCCTGGTGCTGGGGTCGGGCCTAGGGCCACTGAGTCACCCAGCCCAAATGGGTCTGTAGCCCTCG